ATTATATATTATAAATATATATTATATGTTATAAATATATATTATATATTATAAATATATATTATATGTTATAAATATATATTATATATTATAAATATATATTATATGTTATAAATATATATTATATATTATAAATATATATTATATGTTATAAATATATATTATATATTATAAATATATATTATATGTTATAAAAGAAAATTTATTATAAAAAAAAAGAACAAAAGGTCTGGAAATTTAAATAAATAGCTAATAGAGAAGGAGTATCGTGTAAATTAGAGGAGATCACAGATAGATCTCTGTAAAAGTATATAGTGAATATGAAGAAGAGAAAAAAGGAGAACGAGTACATAAAAATTAACACATTAGTTTACGCGTAAATAACGTTTTCTTCAAAATATTAATAAAATTTCTTAAAAAATTATCTCGATCTTTTTAATTTTTATCAAAATGATTCCTATAGTTTTAAAAAAAGTTTTTGTTTATATTTAATTAAATTAAATATAGTTAATTTATTATTATTATATTTATTATTATTTAAATAAATTTAATAAATATTACTTAAAATTATATTTAAAATAAACAGAATAATATTTAATCATATAGCATGCAAGCATACAAGGATTATGTACTTGTCACATTTATCTCGAAATAGGTTGTGAAACATATTCGGTACGAATATTATATGTTATATCTAAATTTTATTTAGTGAGTGTAATACCATATTGTTTGTTATATTAAGCCTTTTCCGAGTTAGTACATCTGAGCACTTTTACTTTATGATAGCTGGGGAGTTTCTGCTGAGTCCCACCCTTCTCATTGACTAATTTGTGTATTCCTAAGATCTAAGATCTGCGTACCGCGTCGTTCGGTTAGTGATTACTCTGAGATTAGACAGTGCTAAGTAGGGTAGCCTGTAGATTTTCACATATAGCTTCAGTGCTCTGTCCCTTATGTATTTTTTGACCAAATCTATTCTATGGTCTTTAAACATTTCATACGCGCGGATGTACCATGGCCAATCTTCGGAAATTCTGCGCAACTTGTAGTTTGTGTACTACGAATATAATTGTCATATAACCATAATATATTACGTAGAGTATGTATTCGTTTGCAAAATATCTTTATAATGTTAATTTCATGATTATTTACTATTTACTTTCCTCGTTTAAAAAAATAAAACAAATGAAGATAAAAAAAACAGTTTCTCTGGTGATATTATATTATATTAGTAAAAGAAAAATATAAACAGGATTTTTTTTTGAATTCTAAAAAATTTTAGCAGATTGATTTAACAGATAATATATATATATTTGGTCAGCCAAATTTCAATAAATTAACTAAATTTTTGTTCTTGTATTTTCTTTGCTATTCGAATTCGTCTAACTTTTAAATAGTTTCTTTGCGTCACTCTCGGCAAGAAAAAATTAACATTTAACAGATAATATTTGCTGTATTAAATTTTTTCAGAATGTAAGCGGATAAAGCGAGTGCTCCAATGGAAGAATGATGCATATATATATATATAGCCTAACATTCTCAACTGTCAATTTCACCTACCCTGTTCTCCACATACGAAGCTCTGGCCTCGCTCGTAGTTGAGCGGAAATTCTCTAACTACTAAACACTAATCCTATCTCCAGGTTAGCAAATAAGGCGATCTGGCCCTCCAGGTTGGGGGTTAATCGCAAGGCCAGCAACCTTGCATCGGAAAAATTTTACCACTACGCAGCACTTAGGGTGGCCAAGGTTCACACTGCACTGTAGTGCCAAATAAGAAGAAGAAGAAATTTTTTTTCAAGTAGGTGCATCCTCGAAATCTCTAATATTAAATATTAAAACAAAATCTAATATCAATATCAATAATATTAGAATAAATAATTATATTAAGAACATGTCAAATAAATAAATAAGAAAATGTAAAAAGTTTCCTAATAAATATTTAAAGTACACATTAGATAAGAAGCAAATAAATCCAATGCACTACCAATCCCTAAACCATAAATTCGCCTACGTCCTAACCTGTCTGCTATCAATGAAATAAAAATTTTCTCTACTACGTATTATCCTTGTGGTGTGTCAAGGATTATTTCGTTTCAAGGACAAGGTTTCCATACAATTACGTACATTTGATACTAAAGCACTAAACTTACTTCAATATTTCCCATCGTTTGGAACGATGTGAAGACGAACATAAAACCGAAGCCCAATATAAGGACATTTATGAATTTCGCATCCATTTTGTTAAGTTTGAATTTAAATGATTTATTTGTTAAATTTTATATTATTTTATTTTTCACTTAATAAAAAAACAGAAACAAAAACAACAAGACGCAAAACACGAGACGGATTTTTTTTACACTTTCTAATGATAATTTCTCACTTCCGCGCTTTATTTAATGCTGTAGGCGGATTGCAAAGTTTTTCTTCGTAGTTGCAAAAATTACTAATTGAATAACTTTTGAATAACTTAAACTATTTAAATAAATTGTGAGCTGAATTGTGCATTAACAAATTGATAAAAATTCATTATATTTCTATTTGTGTAAACAACAAAAGGCGTTAAACTTTTATCAAACAAAACACAATTTAATGCGATGCATTGGCTGCTCCAGCACGAAAGTCCAATGAGAAGAACGGAACGAAATACGTGTTATGCGCAACAGAAATACCGACTACGTACAACCGCTCACTTGAATGCTTGAAAACTGATTGGACGGTGTAAATAAAATCAGCTGCTGCGCTCCCCAAACGACGAGAGTTCAGCTCCAACCGTAGAGATTTTTAACTTCGTTTTGGAGAATTTTCGTATTTTGTTTACATCTTTGTTCCGTTTTCAGTGTACAAAAACAAATAAAAATTAAAATACAGTTTATGACGCCAGTAATGTACTACCTAAAGAAATTTTTATAATTATTTGGTAGCTCGTTATATATTTTTTGACCGTGTGTGAGTACGAATAAATTAATGGTAAATTAAGGGAAATAGTAAGCAGCGAATGTTGGTATTAACCAAAATTTTGAGTGGGGTAAATTAGATAAAAATAAGGTAAATTAGGTGTTACCATTGCGAAAATTTTAAAAGATATTTAATAAATAAATAAATAAGTTTGAAAACTTTTAACCAAAAATAATAAATAAATGCAATAAATAAATACAAAAATATTTACATAAGTGCAGTGCAAAAAATCCCAAAGAAATTATAATATACTTAACCTCAATATACTCGAACTCGCACACAGCCTATATTGTAATTGTTATTAAAAAATAAATAAAATAAGAGCGAAAATAAAAAACTATATGAAAATAAAAATTTATAATGAAGTTAAAGTTGACCGAAATATTTGTAAAAAATATTTTTTTTAAAAATAAAATTTTGAATTTATTTATTGACCTGTTTCTTTATGGTTTTAATAAATTTTTTTATCCGGTTATAGGTCACTTTTTGTTAAATAATTCAATGTTTGATTACGATCTAACATAAATTATTATTACTAAAACTATATCTACATCATCCTCTTTATTTTATTGTCTATATTGCACTATAATTTTTTTAAAAAATATATTAAGAATTTTAACAAAAATTAGGTTTCGAAAAGTAATGAACTACAACAACAAAAATTCTTTTAAAATTATTTTATATAATTGAATGTTTGGCTGACTATACAGCTGTTTCAAATATCGCCGAATATGCACCATCAGTGGTCTTCTTGAATTTAATTATTCGTAAATTAGTTTAAAACTTTTAATAAGTTTTTTATTATTACTGTGCTAGGTCGTCAATTTAACACATAAAAATTAAAAATGTTTTTTTAAATAAAAAATAACACATAAATTTTTTTTTTATAAAAATTTAGAATTAAATATTTAAATATTAAATATTTAAATCAAATTTATAAGTATAAATTTTTTTTTTTAAAACATTTTTCATTTTTATGTGTTAAATTAATGACCTTTTCCTAGTAATAATAAAAAACATATTATTAAAATTTAATATTAGAGAATGTATTTTTATTTGTATAAAATTGTATAAGAAAAATATAAAACTATTTATATATTTTAAACTAACTTAAAGATACAATATTCAAATTTAGTTGAAATTGAAATTAAGATTTAAAAACCATAAATTTAGTAAAAATGACTTAAGTAAATTAAAATTAATGCTTGCAAATGTTTTTTTAAGTGCGTAACCATTTACCAACACTATTTTGACACCAAAAAATAGGCTACATTATTACGAACTTTCACTTCTCTTATTTCTCTTAAGTTGGTTAGTTTTGTATCTACTAGTATACATTTTCTTCTCATAATATAAACAATTAAATTATTTATTTTATAAATAGCAAAACTTTACTCAGGAAACTGCAGACCATTTATTTTATATGTAAGTTACTTTCTAATTACATTCAATAAAGTAATGAAATTAATGAATTTTCATCTAGGTTAATTAAAGTTTATAATTAAAATTTTTTACTTTCATTATTAAATATGGGTGAAAACGATACAGAACGTAATTTACTAAGAAGCCTCATAAATGCTTCGGAAAAAGCAGCTAATATTGCCCGTATATGTCGATCAAATGAACAACTTCTGTCGTTATTAGTTCAAGAAAAAAGTGGAACTGAAGCAAATGCGCGATTTGAACATGATTTCAAGACCCTAGCAGATGTACTGATACAAGAAACTATCAAACATGATGTTGGAAATTTAGTGAGTACATGATATGTAGATGTGTCTTATAAACATATTAATTATATCTATACGTTAAAATGAATTACATACGTGGGTTAAAAATTGCCTCGATTAGTGTTAAAATTTGTGATAATAAAGTTCTGTACTTTCTTTAAGTCTATTTATACATTAGTTCGTATAATAAGTATAGTAATGAATATATTTTAAAGGGGAACTCCCTTATTTTCATATGTTGTCTAGTGTCTTGCCAATTCAAGAAGATGTCACGATGTTTTTGATTATAATTTATCTCTACTTTGTGTAACATACTTTAGCACAAAAGATCTGTCATAGTCAGCGTATTCCGCTTCTTTGGGATTTTTTTACTCTATTAATTTATATTCTATAAACGTACTTAATCAATGTAAATTATTTTAATTATTCTTTTGAAAATAATTATTTTTTTTTTTTTTTAAATGAATAATTATTTATTTATTTTTTTTTTTATTAATTTTTTTTTTTATTTCTTTTTCTTTTTTTGATATCAGATATATCTTTTTTATATACAATATTTATTGTGTTTTGAAAAAAAACTAACGATATTAAAATGATTTTTTAATAATTTGATTTTAAATTTCATTTTTATTGTTGTTAAAAATACAAATTAAGGAAAAAAAACAACGGTAACTAAACTAAACATTTTATTAAAGTACTTGTCTGATCTTATATAAAATTGTCCATCTTTAAAGCAATAGAAATCTGGTCACCATAATATTAAGTTATAATATAACAAAAAATATCTCAATCTCAATACTCTATTAAATATAATATATAATCTCAAACCTTTAAATATTACTATTTACATTTAGTTTCCCGAATTGCGTGAATCCATTTGTGGCGAGGAATCACCAAATTTTACAAATACTCTTGGCGAATCAGTCACCATTAGTGTAGGTGATACCTTAACAAATACAATACAATGTCTGTCCACAGTGCTAAATGGTAATGAAGAAGCAGCGGAAGCATTAGCCAATGAAGTCCATCGTGATATATCCTTTGAGGATGAGAGATTAGGGGATATACCAGCTCTACCAAATGATTTAGCATATGAAGAACTTGGTATATGGATTGATCCAATTGGTAAATAATAATAATCTAATAGTGTTATAATTATTAATATAACTTTAAATACATTTTAACACTACAGATGCTACTGCTGAATATATTTCCGGGGATTCAATGTTTACAAACTTTCCTGGTATCACATCAACTGGATTGGATTGCGTTACTGTGCTGATTGGTGTCTACAATCGTTTAACAGGAATACCAATTATAGGTGTTATTTCACAACCGTTTCAACAAAAAATTATTGATAATGAATATCGATCGCTTGTATTTTGGGGTGTAGCGTTACCCGATTTACAAGTGAATAATTGTAAATTCGATGCTAGAATAAGAAATCCTTTAGGCATTTTCTCTAGTTCAGAAAATCCAGATGTTTTGCAGTGCTTCTTAAATTTAGGTTATGAAATAGCTTTCTCAGCTGGTGCTGGACATAAAGCGCTTAAAGTTATAACAAATGAAGTGGAAATATACACGTTAAGCAAAGCCGGCACTTTTAGATGGGATACTTGTGCACCACAAGCGATATTGCGTTCGATAGGTGGCGATATATATAATTATAGTGAATCGGTCAAGCAACAGAAACCGATTGCATTAAATTATTCACCAGCAAATGATAATGAGGAAAATTGGAAGTGCAATAAAGGTGGTTTAATTGCTATACGTGATAGTAATAACATTGAGCAGTTCATTGTGGCGTTGGCAAATGTATAAAAAAAATTGTGTGGTATACAATATATCAGGGTTTCGATTTCCTATTATTTTAAGAATTAAATGTTATACGTTGTCTGCTGTTGATATTAATTAGTTAATGCTGAATATATTTTCCTGATGTTAAAAACTTGTTGCTATTTGTTGTGTGCTCTTGATTTTAAAAAGTTCAATTTTGATATTGTAAACAATTGTATTTTGTTCGTTAAGTTTTAAAAAAAAACAGTTTCAATTATTTGTTTAAATATAACATATAGTTTATATTGTTAACTTCGTAACATATTTGTTAAAAAAATATTATAGTTACATTTCATATTTTATTTAGCTAAAACAAACAGACTATTTACGTTATGATAAATTTGTTAGCTGCAAACTCTTTAATAAGTTAGAAAATTGTTATAAAAACAAATTAAAGTCCAAAAAAAAAATAAATAAAATTGTTAAATAAACATAAATTATTTTAAAACAATGACTATTACAACATCAATTAGAGAACTTGAAGATTAATTAAAAAATAAATTTATTAAAATTATTTTATAAAATGCCAGAAATGCATTTGTTTAAAAATAAAATATTAATTATAAATACTAATTTGTTTTGTGCTAGTGGCTATTGTCATTTAGTTTTACATATTGTTGCGTTTTAAGTTAATTATTAAACTATTATAATTTTTTGTATATTCTTGCGTTTTAAGTTAATTATTAAACTATAATAATTTTTTATATAAAAAAATGGTTTTCATTTTGGACTATGCTTGCGTTTTCTGTAAAAATCATTTCATATAACAAAGCAATTTATAAAATATGACTGACAACAAATTGGTAAGGCACTTCTTTCATTATTAAAAGTTAATATATATTTTTTCGTTTGGCTTTTTATGTCGTTATACGCGATACATAAAACTGCTTCAAATTAACAGAAACATTTTGTTATTCTACTAAATTTCATATATGAGTTGGGCATTAGACAGCTTTCTTCATGGTCATTTCATGAGATGTACGCAAACGTCTTCTCAACTCATTAGGGAAGCGTTCATAACATTTCTTGCATACTGGCTTCTCGTCATATTCATAGAATTTTGATTTCTGTGTCATTTTTGTATCGCAGACGGAACAAGCAAAATGATGCACACACCAGGCTTTATTTAAGGCAGTAAAAACTGTTCATAAAATACAAGAAATTATTATTTTATTTGATTTGTTAAATGAATGTA